GGGCCCTTTCCCAAAAAGTCAGTTAAATAAAAGTCGCTATCTCCTTGTTATGGTTGATCATTTTAGTAAATGGACCGAAATTGTTCCCTTAAAACGAGCCTCCGCGAAATTAGTTACCGATTCTATTTTTAAATAAATATATTTTAAAATACGGGGCGCCCTAAAAGTTATATCGGATAATGGTCCTCAATTTGTAAGTAATATATTTGAAGACATGTGCCAAAAACTGGGCATACGTCATTTAAAAATGGTCCCGTATCGGCCGCAATCAAATATAGCGGAACGGGTCAACAGAAATATAGTGAAAATTATCCGTAGTTATGTTAAAAATTTTCATAAAAGCTGGGATAACTATGTCAATGAATTTGCTTTCGCCCTTAGGACCGCAAAACATGATACAACGGGCAAAAACTCCTGCTGAGTTATTTTAGGCAGAAAGATTATAACACCGTTAGATAAATTATTTATGTGCAACAAAGAGCCCCAGAATTTAAAATGGGTGATATAGAAAAACTAATAAAAGAAGCAAAAAAGAATACGGAAGTAGCACAAAGAAAACAGAATTATATTATGATTTGAAACGACGGGGAGTAACTTATAAAGTAGGGGATGAAGTTTTAAAAAAAATTAAGCATTCACTTTCTTCAGCACCAGAAGATAAAAACTGCCAAATTTTTTCCACGATTTGAAGGACCATATGTTATAGAAAAAATAACTCACGCTGTTGTAGTGTTAAAAGCCAGAAAATGGGTGAAACCTGTTCCGCAAACATTGATCAAATAAAGCCCTACTATCGATCGTAATAAAATGCAAATTTTTTCAGATCTTTTGCAGGATCACGGCAGACACCGCAGGTACAAGTTCCAGAGGTGGAAAAACGACAAGTACAAGGGCAAGCCAATTGAGAGACAGAAGCAAGTGAAAAGAAAATTTGCCCCCGCGGAAAAATTGAAGGTAACAAGAAAAAGAAGCCGTTCCACCGTCCAGAAAACAGAGTTCACGAACGAACACCCCCAGAATGAAGAAGGGAGAAGGACGACGTATGTGAAGAGGAACCAGGAGAAATGACGGCAACTATTAACCCGGCTTAAAACGGAAGATCTACTCATCCGACAGAAACTCTCCGCAGCAAAAGTCGCCGAACTGCGGAAGGGCCATCAGCGGCGGAGGAAAAGTACAAGAAAAATTTGAACGGCCCACACGAGGTCCAAGCAGGATCACGACAGAAGTTTCCCGGTTCCTGCCAAGACCAGCTGCCATCAAACGGCCAAAGACCACAAGCAGAGGAGAAAAAGAAGGTATTCAAGGGTGGCCGAACTGGTGAAAAAAGGAAGCTTCCAGAAGAAGGCAATGAAGGGCGAGCCCGTACAAGAAGGAGGATAAATCACACAACTATCTGCAATACCTTTAAAGACTGGGCCCAGAAAAGGATGTCCGAATATTACAAAGATAAGTAAAATTTTATGTTACTTTGCAAACTTAAGTTAATCTTTCATTCTTACTGCAAGTGGCAGATTTCAAGAAGTTTTACCTCATGCGAGGTCTACCTTTATCGCCAAAAAGGCGAGAAATGAGTTGTGACCGATTTTCGTATTATGTTTTTAAATTACTCGCGCGTAAAACTAAAGTTGATGTATAATAGCGTTGTGTAAAGACTTAAATATTGTAAAAAGTTATTGTATAAATTTTATTTAAAACATTCTAGCAAGAAAGAAGTTTTAGTCTGAAAGACTTTTTGAAATGTAGTATTTCAATGTAGAAAGAATTGGCACTTGCTTTGAAAAGAATAGAAGTTAACAATGTACTACTAATGTATGTTTTCAAATGTTAAAATTAACGGCATGTTGATATGTTCTTATATACAATGTGAACTGTTATTTTAAATGTTAAGAAATACCGTGATATGGTAAAAGTGAAAGTAATGTTAAAAATTTTGTTATTCGTGTGACTGTAAAGATTAAATCATGGTGAATATGTGTTTAAAGGTTGAATGATGTAGTTAGGCTCTCTGACGCTACACTTTAGAGTTAGCCACTTTCAGAATAGTACCTCAGGGTTTAGAGTTGAAATTAGGGTGTGTTACGAGGTCTTGGTATGTTGAATTTTAACACGTTAGTGTTTTGATTGTAGGAGGAAGTGTGGAACACGTAGACAGAAACACATTCGTGTTTGGTGTTCTTTTACAACACATGTCAGAGAGCACGGGAGAGAGATAATTAAAATAGTCATGAATGAAATAAGAATGTTAAGAGAAGTATATTATATATGTTACTTGCCATGTCATTGTGTAACATTTCATTAAACTAGTTTTCCTTCCAGATCTCTGGAAGGAACCAGAATTGAATAAAAGCTCCTGTTTAGATGCAGTACAGATGAAAAAAAATTATGTATCCTGGGAGCTGCTATTGTAAAAACAAATTTCTTTCTTTTAAATTTCTAGTTTCTAGCGAAGTATATTTGTAAAAGATTGGCCTCGCGTTAGATTCTAGAGCTAAGAGTTTTCAACAAGGTCGTTTTAGACCTCTTTCAAACTAATTAACTCTGGCGGGAAGTATGTAAGGATCTTAAGTTTTACTAACGTTTATTTTATTTTAAATCTTTACTATCACTTCTTATTTTCTACTTCCGGCCAGAATTATAAGCGTTAAGGTTTTTATGCAAAGTTTGTCTGGCGAACGCCAAGTATTTAAGTTGTGGCTTTTTGCCAAGAGAGAGAGAGGAAGCAGTGAGTCGAAGCAGGCCGCTTACCTTAGAAGTTACGCAGTTGCTGTTTGCCTTCCAGGCCAGAGGTTTTAATACTCTTGATAAATTTAAACGTATTGTAGTGTTCACAGTTCTCTGTACTACATACGCTTCCTGTTAATATAAGGCCAATCTTCCACGTTTATTATTCTAAAGTTAAATTAGAGTTTAGTTTTATTTTTATTCTTTTACGTTTTGACCCCAAGTGGCGGGTCAGTGTATTCCGAAGTACGGAAGTCATTGTAAATAGAGAAAAATAAAGGGTTTAGTATACCCTTCTTGTGTATCCTGTTTACTTCCCACAGTTTTGAACATAGCTTTAGTAAGCTCTCTGTTCCGAGTCAGGTCCTTGCATGTTCCCGAAGAAGATTAGAAGGAACTTTGACCCTGATATTTTATACAGATGTAGTTTATTTTCATAACTTAATTCCTGTAGATTCCAGCAGCATACTTCAGTTACAGCACTGGGGTGGGTGACCATCCATGTGACACCGAACTCTGCTTGTTGTGCTATGTAGCTCCTGTTACTGAACTTGAGCACCTATGATTTGTATATAGATTCATAGACTTCCTTCTACAACTAATTATATATAATATTGTATCTTCATTTATTATTTATTCCACTGTAATGTATTTTGTTTACTGCACTTTTGGATAAATTCAATCCAAATCGCGTGATACACGGGATCGGATCATGAACTCTGATTTTATGCTGTCATCAGTATTGTTATCCAAGTTAATCTGTAATAGCGATTAGAACTGTTATAAAACTGTTTTATGTGTCCATTACTCATACTCCATCCATTATTTTTATTGTATATCGTAGTCTATCATGTTATGCTAAACTACTCCTTTATACTAGTTTTACATATTACGTTCTTTAATTCAACACAATGATGATAGAATTAATAACGAAAGAACAGAATTAATAACGGAACTTATTAGAATACTAGCGGACGGCAGCCAAAGTAAAACTTATAAGTTCTATATACACATAAAAAGAAAATGCATATAAACCTTTCTGTATGAACAAAATCAGTTCATTCCTTTCGTAAATAATATTTTGTTGCGAAACCTGAAAACAAAAACTTTTGACATTTCAGGTTACTACGTAAATTTAATGTAATATAACATTTTTTTCAATGTCAATAAAAGAATTAACGTGACAATAACATATCCTGTCAGTTATTCTAATCTGAAACAAGAGGTTGCCAGTAGCAGCTATTTGTTTAAAATGCTGACATTAACGAAAACTTTTCGACATACAATGACGTCACATGCAATTGCGTGCTGTCTTCAATGTCAGAATATGACCATATATATATAATATATTAATGCTTGGCAATGCTATTTTTATTCCATATTTTGTAAAACTTACAATTTTTCTATTAACCAACTCTACTATTTGAAAGCGAGCAGTGGCAACACTTTTTGAAATAAAGCAGGTTTTTAACTCCAGCGCGTGAGATTGTTGCCACTCGGAAAAATGAGTGCGAAAATTAGTGTTTTTAGAGTTTTTAATATCTGATTAAAATCGTACGAAAATTAGGATGGTCGAAATGGCTTCCAAGGAATTTTTCGTATCCGGGGGTCATGAAGAATATTTTAATTTACTGCGTTTTGCTTTATTCATTTTAACTGATTTTGCAACGAGTGCATTTTTTAATTAATATACCTAACTTTTTTTTAATCTATAAATTCCACATTATTACAATGAATTTAATTTGTATTATTTTGTTATCCTTCTATCACTTTCGAAAAGTTCATAGCCACAGTTATTGTAGACTGCGGCTATAAACTGAAACAATTATTTGTAATCTTTTACAAAGAGTTCATGTATTTATATTTTGTTTACTGCGCGAATTACACAATTTTTGTAAAATGCTTAGACACTTGCTCCTTAATGTTAACATAATGCTTGTTCTTAAACAAATCCTATCTTCAAGAAAGTAGAGGAGGAAAAACACTAAACTGATAAGTCGAAAGATCAAGTAGAAAATGGATATCTTATTTCAATGACAGCAAAATGGGATTCTTCACCAGTTTTGCAAAGTAAAGAAAGATTCATTTATTTAAATACTTAAATATTTTTTATTAAGAAAACCTCGAAACCTTAGCAATTGGCACGTTTCCGGTAGGGTTTCTATGCAGAGTGCCATAAATCTTCAGATTTGGCGACATTGGCGAAGAAAATTGAAAAGAGCCATTGGTCGAACGTTAGTTACGAATAAGCGCTCAGCTCTACAAGAGAACGATGAATTCTAAGCTCCTTTCTCTGTTGTGCTTCGCTCACGCTACTTTACGTTCGATAAAGTTTTAGCATCTATAGAATTTTTAAAATGACGGCAATTAGCGTTATCATAGGCTGCATTGCTGCGGTAAGTTTATACACTATTTTTAACTGAAAATTTTACTGTTAACGCAAAGAATAATTTATTGATTGAAATAATTTGATTGGAATAGTTTAAAGCGAATGTAATTAGTTTTTCACAAATATGAACTTTGTGAATGTTAAATAAATAAGAATAGTACTCATAAAAGCTGATTTATAAGCACGTTAAGTATTTTGAAGTATAATTTGAATAAAAAACTTAAGATAAAATTTAAAGTAGGTATCTCTAAAATTTATTAAATCGCAGAATTTGAATGTAATAACACAATTTTTATGGTCACAAGTTTTTCTTTTGCGGGTGGTTTGCACAAGATGTGACGAAGGGAAAAAATAAAAAATAAAATTTAAAAGAAATATAAAGTTATTAATAGTGCAAAATTGGTCACAATTCACTCTTAGATGTTATTAGTTCCAAAACGTGAAGTAAAAATTAAATTTGATTGCTTTGTGAAGAGAGAACTTTGCTACAGTTACTCAAAATGTGGACAGCATTTCTGCAAATTTAAGGCTAAATCTTGTTTACTATAAATTTCGGACATTGATCAAAGTTACTTATATTAATCATAATGCTTTATTATACACATTGTACTTTCTGTAACGATTAGCATTTCTTCTAGTAACTGTAGCATGTACTGTGAAAGAAAGCTCTAATTACAAAACAGCATAATAGTAAATTGTAGAAGCATTACTAACAATTTATTAACGCGTGGCATGTGAGAAATTTTATAGTAATGTAATTTGAGGTATATATTGAATATTATGATTTAATATGCACGTATGCATATTAATAATAATAACAATATGTTAATTTCTAATAATTTACATGCATTATTTGTACTACAGTTGTTATTAATTATTACATTTTGATTGCATAAAATTAACTTTTATTGAGTATTTGTTTCATTTTCCTAGTTGTTAAGATAAAAAAGTACGTTCTTGCGAACAAGTCTGTTTCAGAAAACTTTTAACTAAGTAGTGAAAAACAGATATCTGGATGAGTTTTCTCATCACCGGCCCCGGAAACGGAACAGTGTCTCCCAAACTGGTCGAATACCTTTTGGAAAAAATACGTTTTTAAACAGATTACATTTTGAAATACTTATCTTTTAATATAAATGAAAATTTTGCATGAACGCACAATTATTCTTCAAGTCTTGCATTAATTTTTAAACTAATATACCGGCGCATAAAGTCGCTTATTGCATCAATCAGTAATTTTATGAAAATAGTTTTCAATCATTATGTAATATGTTGCAATATATACATATTACTTCTTCTGAATGATCTGAATAAATTCCGTTTCATGGTTACTTTTATAACTCAGCTGTCTTAAAACATTTCGATACTTGGATTGGGCAAATATTCAACGTTACTTTACTAGTTCAATTTCGTTTTACGGTATATATTAACATTTCTTTCTTAACTGCGAACTGAAGATTTTCAGGAATGACAATTTTGAGCATAATAACCTTTTCCTGAATTTTGATGAAATTATAAATATGGGGAATAACTAATATTTATCAAAATTCAATATTTGTATTGAAAAACGACTGAAAATACTCTTTGGTAGCAAACTAAAAATGACTTAAAAATAAAAAGGTTTACTCTTTCATGTTTTTTTCTTTTGTAACTCTTGCGAAATTATTAGGAGCTTTTCAAGCTTCATATTTTCCCTAATAACTGGGTTCCCCTAAAACCCCAGTCGCCCTTTAAGAAAAGGGGAGTATATAAGGTATTTCTCCCACCTTCTTGGCTTGCATTCGTGGTGTAGTGGTCTGCACACTGGAGCGGTATCCAGAGGTCCGTGGTTCGATTCCCGGCGAAGGCGGTTGCTAATTTTTCATCTTGCCTGCTTCCAAAAAATACCTATTGTCTCTACAACTTCTCCATAAAACTGTTTTTAGCACCTCTCAATAACTCTTAAAATGCGAACATAAGAGTACTATTCTCAGATTCATATTTTAAGTTTGTAGTTTATTCATTTCTAATTAAATTGATAATTAATTAAAGTGAATAAAATTTTAAAAAATTACGTTTTATTAAAAATTGAATAATCTCATTATATGCATATAAATATGCGAAAAGCTTACATATTTTTTCAGAAATTATCTTCGTTATCGTTTTGCAAATAATATCAACTATAAATAAATAAATTCGTATTGAATATTGATGATTATAATTTTGCATTTAACATTAATCCTTATTTAGCTACTTTCAAGTGAATGAAATAATCTTTGCTTTAGAAATCTGAAGGACAGGATCAGTAAAATTTAAGTTACTGTTGTTGCTGGTAATAGCAATGAATATTAAAAAATTCCTTCCAGAGTTTTGGAAATGAATACAGATTTTCTCAGAAGCTTAAAACATTATCTACAAAGAATTCATAACTCTATTTGCCATTTTCCTTTATTTTTTTTGTAACATACAAACTCTTTGGGCACAAAAATGCACTGTACAAGCTTTACAAAAGGAAATTAATTGTATATTACATGCATTTATAAAACAGACAAAGATACAGAACAACATTCTAGACCTCATAAAAACTGATAAATTCATTTGCCAAGTCACACCTTGCTTTCTGAATGTATAATCTAAGGGCATCGAAAATAGGGTAGGAGAAAATTAAATGTTCCACATACTAAAGTATATTTTTCGAACACTAACATAAGTTCAAGTAAGGTCTTAGATTCAAGTGAAGCAGGTAACTTGTAAATTTACGGTAGACAGATGAAACCGATATACTACTTTAAAATTTTTGAAGATGAGACTCAGAATGTAGTCTTGGACGAAAGCAATAGGGGTTTTACTTACGGCCAACACGAATATAAACCATACCCCGTCTTCTATATAAATGAACGAATCCACCTCTCGCCATATACTCTTCCCATGGGTAAACTAATATGCTTTGCAAACAAAATAAATTAAAATTGTGCTGCTGGCTGACAGAAACTTTTCAGGGATTTTAGGTGGTCTTTCTAAGCACGGATGATAAAAAAGTCAGAATTAAATTTGGGCATGCTGCTTTTATTAAAAAGGATTGCTCTGTTTCACAAACTCCTGCCTGCAGACATAAATAATCATTTCTGTTCAAATTCGTACATGCATTCAAAATATTGTGGATGACGAAATAAAAACATAAAAATCCGTATCTTATAAGAAAATTTTTTTTTTTTTTTAAATCAAATAGCAGGTACTTGCCTATAACGTCATTGGCCACTACTAAGGCCAGAAGTGGTGGCCATTTTATCGTAGAGGCACCTAATAGGCGACCACCGCTACCTTCTATGAAAGGACAGACAGTTTTACATCCCCGAATCCAACGTACGGAGCACTAAATTGTTTAATTTTGTTCTCTAAAGAATATGTTTTCTGTTTACGGAAATACAAAAGTTTTTAACAAAAATATACTTGCATTAACTATGTTCTCCGCTTATAGCGAAAAGACAACCAAATGTAGTTCCAGTTGGTCAAATTCTACTAAGTTTATGCTGGAAATAAAAAAAAATTATTTGCCGTATATTCGTATAAATCCCATAATACCAAATGGTTAAATAGATTAATATCTGAGTTATTTTTCTTTAGTATATATTAGTATACATTTCGATATCCATAATTTTTTAAGCAGTCTAGCTTTTCTAAAAGTTTTTCAAAGACTGCAAATTTTGCAAGAAGCTTTTTGATCTATTTATTGGAAAAATGGGAAGGGATTTGGGGATACCATGAATTTCAGCTTTGTTCTGTGGTCAGCTATACCCATATAAAGATGGAGTAATTTGATGGATGATGTGATTCCATTTTGTGTGATATATCCTCATTTTCACAATAAGAAATTTGATTTCAGCTCTTTTGCGAATGCAGATATTTAGTACATTCACACAAAGCATAATTAGGAAGGCAGGTTGTACCATTTTATGAATATCACAAATAGTTTAATTAAAGCAATAGAAACATACATCTCATGTATTTAGTCATAACAGATGCATGGATCATACATGTGTGTATCTCGTTCAAATGGGTGTAAAAATCTATGGTTCATTATAAAAAAAAATAAATAATGTGACAAGTCATATTCATGTGCTTAATTCAAACAATGAATACCCATTTCGAGACGGAATTGCAGTTTTGAATTGAGTTTAAGGGATGTTCTTACTCATATCTACTTTTTTGGAATGCATAGCGGATGATCTGAACGATTTAATACAAGCTAGAAACCTTGATAAACTATTTGAACACAAATGAATTTATGGTAAGGTATCATATTAGTAAATAAATCGAACAAAGAAAGGGAATAAATTGTAAATATTGGAATATGTAACGAAACTGTAATACATAGAAATACACAAAGAAACTGTAATACTGAATTATGAGGACTATTTTAAAAATCAAAATTTTCAAGAAAATAGTACGGTAGTATAGTAGTATTTTCGCAGTATAGTAGTATGAATGATAAAAATTATGTTTACGATAACAGTTGTCATCATTAGAGGTTATCCATTTTTATATCTTTAAAATGCAATTTTCAAGAAAATTGCATTTTAAAGATCTATGTTAAATAAAACTGAAGTACTTGTGTCTGGATATGAATACTGCTAATCCTTTTCCAGTTTAATTTTATAGCATATTTTCTTCTTATGTGATCTTTATTCGCAAATTATTGAAATAAAATGAAAAGTATAAGATTGAAGTTGTCTCTAAAATAAAATGTTAACAGTAATTTAGGTGAATACATGCGGTGGTTTAAAGCTCCACGTAACAAACGGAAATAGTAAATTTGAATACGTTTCGAACAAAACATTATTTTTAATATGAAAATATGTTATCAAAATTATAGAACATGGAAGGAATGTGTTTCTAGCCCAATGGATAATATTACTATTAATCTGGGTTCGATCCCTGGTGAGTGGACATTTCCATGGCAGACATCCCAGCCTTTAAATGTGTAACACGAATAATAGTAGATGATTTTAAGCAGATCTCCATTATGTT